AAAGGGGCTAGGATATAACTATAAACCATGAACAGATGTATGAAGATTTAGGCTCACTATTAACAATGACACCGAGATACTAAAGAAAGACATCTCCTAATTTTCCACCATTCAACACCAAGTCCTTTACGTGACTTTGCCGATATAAAGCACTCTCCCCTTATGTACTCCACACATCTACTAGTTTCCTCCTTCCATAGCATCAAAATTCCACCCGATGCTCCTCTAACAGGACAATTCTTCTAACCAATTTCTTTTATCTTCCATAAGCTTTGTATAATCCTATCGTGAATGGTTTCTATTTTGGATTCCTACAAACAGATGACGTCTAGTTTTCATCTGCTCATACACCTTCCAATCAATTGTCACTTCTTGTGATCATTTAAATCCTTAATATTTTATGAGATGGTCCGGCCAAACATGGATTAAGTGTTGGCCAACACCCCCCACCCTTTTTTCCCTCTTTCCTCAAGCTCTCATAGTTTATCCTCAAGTTGTCATAGTTTATGCTGGCATGCAGCCTTCTCAACTCCCTAGATACCTTCATTTCCTGTTTATTCTTACTTTTCATTGACTGTCTCTCTCTTTCCGCCTTCTCCTTCCTTCTTCTCTCTATCTTCTTAAACAGGTCCATAGCCCTTTCCTCCAATCAAAAGAGACCCCCAACATACAACTGATCCATTGGATATATTGTAATATCGAACTAGAATTTCTCATTCCAATTAAGTCCCCTATTTTCTCTCATCCCTCCTCCTCTATCTGATTTTCCCCACTCTAGCTCATCATTTTTTCTTCTCCCTCCAGACCCTCTTCATTAACTTTTTCCTCCATTAGAACCACCACCAGAGATCGAGCGGCTTCCTCCTTCCCCTCTTAATCCTCCCTAGAGCCACCCACAAGTTATTACCCTTTCCATTCTTATTTTGTCCCCAGAACCTCTCACCTTTGTTCTAGTAAAATTCTTTCAGCACCCTTACCAACCATTCCACTTCATCTTCTCAATACGAGATTGATACCCTAAAACAATCTACCATTCTCACTCGGCCTTAACCCCTTTGCCTTCCTCCCTTTACATACAATATCATAAGATTTAATTTCAATAACCAGGAACTTCAAAGGAATGGGGATCGTTTTTACCATCTCCTAGTGCGGTGACGACGGCCACACACTTTTGCTGTACCTTTGGCCAAACCATTGTCTCGAACGGCCATCCTCACTCAGACAACCTCTCTCGAACAATCTGTTGTCTTCTCAAACAGCCTGTTGTCTTCCCAAAACAACCAGTCAAACATCAAATTTTGCGAAGAGTGACCAAACAAGAAAGAGAATATTCTGATCTAGCAGAAGCAATTTGGGAAGTACAAGGGAGAGGCGCTCTTTTCTCTTTAGGGGTTGATCACTCTCCTTCAAGCGTATCTATTGAGTATCCTCCTATTGCCTATGTTTATAATCTTTGTGTAACTAAGAGAACTATCAATATTATCTCTTCCAAAAATAGAAAAGAGATCTAAGAAAATTATAAAGGATTTCTATGATTTGGGTTGTGGCAAAGAGCAAGTTTGAGATGCTCCAGAAAAATTAGGAGACTCAAGTTGGAAATTTATTTCTCAAGTTATGGTCCCCTTCACCCTGTACTACATTTCAGGGTTAGAATGGCTCTCGTTTCCCTCTGGGAGGATCAACAGGTAAGGAAGACTTATCTTCTAGTATTTCTGACCTTTACAGACCCTCCCCTAGACATTTCACCCATATCTCTTTTTGCTAAATTCACCTGGATTGCCAAATACCTTGGAACTTCTTATACTTCCCTACAACCCTAATAGTAAAGAAATAATAGATCCAAATCCTTAAAAAACCTACCTAATGTTTCATCACCTCATAGACCTCATAGTAGAATTTGGAGGCTCAAGTGTTCAAGAGTTTATAACTATGACCCTTTTTAATATTTCTCACTCATCACCCTACTACCCATAGTAATGTTTTATCTTTAGGAAGAGAAAGTTCCATCTAAAGTAAGAGTTTACCTATGGAAAGCTATTCTGATCAAGATTAAGACCGATAATATGCTCAGGCTATAAACCTCATTCAACAACCTTACACTAAGCACATCACATCTTCTCTATTAATTTCCATCTGTATGCAACAATAAGTTAGTTGTTTTTATTTTTTATTACTCTCTCTCTCTCTCTCTCTCTCTCTATTTGATATACTCACTTAAACCTTCCAAATTGTAGCCCTCTATCAAGGAGTACCCACCAGTCTCTTCCTTTTCCCTCTCTTGACAAATTAGTAAATATCTATCATTGTTGGCATGACATGATTCCGCCATGATAAAACCTCTTCTTCTCACCAAACAATTACATGTTCAAGATGCACACCAAGTGTCATGCACATATTCCATACCCTTGTCAAAGTCATGTCATGTCAACACAAGTATGGCACATAAATGCAATGTCCAAGGACATAGGTTCTAGAGTCCAAAGAGTACTAGCTCCAAGTTTCTTTAGTATCATGCAATGTCAAAGTTTTGATTTGAATTGTTTTTCACATTTGGGAAGCATAGATCTTTGTTCCCTACTTGGAAACTTTTATCTCTATTAAATTACATGGTATTGGAAGGCCTAAATATAAAAAGAATTTGTTGAGGCTGCTGCTTAATAGACAATGGGTCATTTGGTTGGAACAAAATGCTAGAATGTTTAAGGGACAAATTGAACCACAAGATGTGATTTGTGACAAAATTATCTTCTTTACTTCTCTTTGAGCAAGGGCTCAAGGTTTCTTACGGGTAAACCCTTATCCACCTTGGTCACTATTTTGCTTTATGTATTCTATTTGCAACAGTTCTCTTTCTCCCTAATAAAGTTTGTTCTTTAATAAAAAAAAAGTAGTCATAAACCACATGACTTTTCTCAAACAAAGTGGTGCAGAGGCCAAATCAACAACGTAATCAACAACTCACACATACACAGTGAGCTACAAAAATTTAATCCCTAAATAAATCCTTTCGATGTTATGTACCAAAATAATGGAACCAAAATAGTGAAACCAACAATCAGTGAGTTTGTTAAAATCAAGTTCTATTCCTTCAAAAGCGAGATTGTTTCTCTTTTTCCAAAAGACCCATATTATGGTGAGTGAGATTAATCTTAACATTTTTCTTTTGCTGTTGAAACTTTCTCATGCTAGGAGTTCAACATGAATGTTATTGTTCATGACCCAAGACAACCCCATAAGACTAATAATGGTGTTCCATAGGTACTGTGAAACCGAACAGCCTAAAAGCAGGTAGTTACATGTTTCAAAATTGTTTTTAGATAGGAAATATCTATTGGCGATCATGAAGCCTCTTTTCATTATGTTGTCAAGGGTAAGAATGCGGTCTTTTGCAGCTTCTCAAGCTAAAAATGAAATACTTGGAATTGCACCCGATTTCCAGATTTTGTTGGAAGGGAAGCTAATGTTATTCTGATTAACATTGTCCGCCAAGTGATTGTAAAGAGATCTGACAGTAAAAGTACCATTTTTAGAGAGTAGTCATTTTAGATTGTCCTTCCTATCATAGACTTAAATTGAAGACAGAGTCTGTAGCAAGAATAAATATTCATCTAACTCCCAATCTTATAAGTTTCTGAATACCGACACCTGAGAGTGGGGGTTTTTTCTGAATATGGATAAATAAATTGAATAGAATGTCATAAGAAAAACCTTGATAAATTAAAATCAATTCAAGAAAGAGATTGATGAAAATGCTACAAATACCTTGATAAATAGATACCAATTCCTCACTCAACAGGAGGTTGAAAAAACCTCACAAGTTGACATGGTAGAAAGCTTTGTATTTTATGACTTGAATCCTTGAATCTTGAATATTTATAATCAAATTCTTAAAACCTATTTGTAGTTGAAGGCCAAATGAAATAGAAGAAAATAAAATCTCTTAATTAATTGTACAAACGTGATTAAGAAAATAATAAATTACACAATTAAAAAAATAATACTAATCAATGTAGATACCGTTGTCTATCTTGAATTAAAAAAGATTTCTTTCCAATATTGTTGAAATGTCGGCATCCATGGAAAGATTCTTAAATTAAATATGATATGCACTTAAAATGTAGAAAAATCTCTTTAAAATATCTTACTTTTAAGAAGATCTCTTGAAAATTTATTAATTTAAAGATCTTTTGATTCCTTAGAAAAGTAAATTTGTTCGTGATCTTGTGATAAATTTTTAGAATATGTACATGATCTTTCTTGATTTTTCCTATATGTGAATATACTCTTTTAAAAAGATATGATCTTGACTAGAAAACTTGAAAAGATATGATTTTAATTCTCTATTGATAGATTTCCATAATTCTTTGATCTTGGTTTCCTTTTTGCCATTAGAGAAAGATATGGAGCGCAAAAGAAAACTTTCCTTCTTGAGAAAAAAATCTCTCTTAAGTGGGAAAAAATCTCTTATAGGTGGGGATAGATATCCCATAGACTTTTTAAGTTCTTTAGGGACCTCTTCCTTTCTTGACTTGGTGCGCTCTACCTCCCCCTTCCAAGGCCTTCAAAGTTTGGCCCAATACTTCTTCTCTCATGGATCCATTCTTTAATATAAATAAGAAAGTCTTCCTTAAGTTTCTTACCCCATGTTCTTGTGCTTGGCCTACTTTTCATTAGAATACTCTTTTCATATGTTCCAAGTCCATCGAATGATATGTCCAAGCTTTGTTTTCCTCCATGTGGGCGTTGTTCATGACCCAAACCACTTTGACCTTTAACAAAACAACCTAATCCATGACTTCTTAAGCTTGATTGGTTTCTTGAATATTCCAAGTCGTCTGTGCTCGCATCACAGAGCCTCTTAATTAAGAAAGGAAATAAAAGCATCTTTTGTAGCTTTCTCTCTCTAATAAAGTTTCCCTTGAAAGTGTACATTTGGGAACCAAGAAAAACAACAAAAGATGCTGGAAACCGATGATTGAAACGTTCAACAACAAATTAGCCACTTGGAAGAAGAAATTTATGTCTAAAGGAGGTCGATTAACACTCATAAAGAGCACTCTCTCAAATCTGCCTATCTACTATCTATCTGTTATTAATATTGCCTTAAATGTTGCCAAAAAATTGGAAGTCATCCAACGCAATTTTCTATGGTGGGACAGTGAAAAGAAGAAGAAATATCATCTGCTTAAGTGGTCGGATATTAAAAAATCCTTGAGGGAAGGGGAATTGGGGCTAAGATCCTTGACTAAATTAAACAAGGCCTTACTTGGGAAATGGATTTGGAGATTTTGGAACAACAACAGTTCATGAAAATTAGTTAGCAACTGCAAATGGTTTAAAGGCAATCCTCATGATCTTTCACACATTCAGAACAGCAACTATGGTATTAGGATGTGGAAGAACATAATTAATTTGAATGATACTGTTTTTCATTGTTCTAAGTGGTCTATTGGGAATGGACAAAAAATCCATTTTTAGGATGACATTTGGTGCATAATTGAAAAATGCAAAGACACATTTCCTCATAGCTACGCTATCGCTAAGAACAAGCATACATCTGTTTGGGACGTTGCGAGTTCAGCCTGCCAAGCTTCTTCGAATGTCCCAGTCACGAGAAATCTTAATGATTGGGAGCTAAGAGATTATGAATCTCTGCTTCTTACATTGGCCAGCATTACTCTTATTAATAGAAATGACATATTAATTTGGAACCTAAAAAGAATGGATTATTTTCTGTCAATTTGTTGTATTGCTTTCTGGACGGTCAAAAACAGAATATCCAAAGAACTTTTCTATCCAAGATAATATGGAAATCTGGTGATCCTCCAAGGATATCATTCTTTGCTTGGGAAGCTGCAAATGAGAAGATACTCACAGTTGATAATATGATGAAAAGAGGCCACACTATTGTTAAAAGATGCTTCCTTTGTAAGGAAGACTTGGAAACTTGTAATCATCTCTTTTTGAAATGTCTCACTACTCAGAATCTTTGGAACATGATCCTAGGACTGTTGGGGGTTTCTTGGGTAATGTCTGAAAATGTTAACTCGTAATTGATGGCTTGGAAGGGTCTAGGCAGCAGCAATAAGTTCACCAGACTCATTTCTCTTACTATTTTTGGGTTATCTGGGAGGAAAGAAACTACCGGGCTTTCGAAGGAGTCGAATCTGATTTTAACATCATCAAGGATAACTGGTTTAACTATTTTGTCTCATATGTTTTAATGCATAATCTTGATTGTTTTGACGATTTAGGTGATACTATAGATATACTAATTGAGATGTAAATTTTGTACATGGAGGATGCTCCCTTAGCACCTTTTCATATTAACACTACTCTTATTTTTATTTCAAAAAAAAATAAAGTTTCTCTCAAAAGAAAGTATAGTAGTGAAGCATATGACTTCTTTGAAATAGAGCCTAAAGAAATGAACAAAAACATACTCTGTTCTTCTGTTCTTTCAATCATAATTCTGTTTCTCTCCCAGTACAAAAGAAAATTTATAGATTCCACCATGTCTTACAAGTCCATGTACAACTTCATTCGCACACTAATCACCTAATAATAAAACTTATAGTGGAGAATTCATAAGTAGACAAGAGAACAGCAAGTACACATGCAGGCCCCACTATATCCAGCACAGACAATTAATTAATGAATCACAAAATCACAAGAAAACCAATAAACTGATCATACAAATTAACAAAATTGATCACACACCTATTAATAAGAACAATGATCACTGAGCTACCAAGAGATTTCACTGTTGGGAACCTAAGCTGATCAACTAGTAAACCCAATCTTTGGCTTGCCTCAACTGACAAATCTCCAATGTTTAGTACAGGATGGCCTCCACGAAGACTAGATATATTAAACCCTACAGGATTTCCTGCAAAACAGAAGTCTAAGCTGTATGACCAGATACAAATGATTCAACAATAAAATAGCACCCTTTGTTTCTCCATGAATGCATAAACCGGAAGGGAAATCTAAATTATATTACCTTCATAAGGGGGCTCTAAAGAGCCATTTGGATCAGGTGTATATACAAGAATAACTGCTTCAACAAATTTCAGCGCCAGCAGTCTTACGCCACCACTCCCGGGCTTGTTAACAGGTTAAAAGGAATTAGACTGCAGATGGTATCCAACTATATCTAATCATATAAATAACTTCTTACCTGAAAAGCTATGGAGAATATTTCGTCCTTGAACTTTAACATCCACGCCCATGATGATTCAAGAGAATTGTCCAACTCGCTGGAGTGCAGACCCTGGCATATTAGTAAAATAAGCATGGGCCTCAGGTATGACTTAATAAAACTCGCACTTGTTTAACATATTCTGCAGTCAAACATCTTTTTCATTTTGTGGAGTATAAGCAAGAAAACAGTTTTCTAGCAAGTTTAAACTATTTGTGGCCACTGCAAGTCCACCAACCAACTTGTAAGCTCCAGAAGCCTATTCTAATCATGTGATATGGGAATAACTCAAGTTTGAACCATCAAGTTTTAAGAGGTCAAGTTGGCAACATGAGACACATTTAGATCTACGAATATGTCTAAAATAGGGATTTAAAAGGACGAGGAGACACTAGTAGTAACTACGGAAGACCAGCACAAAAGATAGCACAAATATCAGAAAAAACTGATAACTTTTCAACTTCAGAAGAGACATCGCAATAA